ATAAGCAGCACCCTAAGTGGTAAAATAGGCTCAATCCAAAATGCTATAGTAAAAGTCATACACAGCTTTCACCTAATTATCAAATTGTTGTGTTGTATTTTCATTCAATAATTTCTTGTTAAACTAAATGAAAATTTTATTAAACTTTTTAGTTCAACTTTTAGCTCAAGGATAATGGAAAGTCAAATAACACCGAGGGGTATTATGATGGCTAATGATTTTGTTAATCCTAGTGCTCTTCAAATTACTTCTTTTTTTTAAATTGATTCATTTTTAGTGATGGAAATGCCTCTATGCTAAATTGAATCAATGACTCGTAAAAGAAGATGGATTAATTTGACCAATGATATTTATTTATCAGATTTTAAATTATTAGGGGAATATCATGAAACATGTTTAGATGATGGTGGAGGACGACACTAACTTCTTGCAATGACATTGATAATAACAATGAGCTATATCAATATATTTTAGGATATTGAACCATGTCAGTGCAGTTTAGGAAATCAAAGGCAAATATTATTTGAGGCATCTAATTATATATTTATCTTAGGTCTAATATTCTATGATCAACATAATTAAACAAATACTTATTATTATGTAGGCTTCTATTCTTCCAAGGCAATGCATTGACATATGATTAAATGAACTTCGATACAAGATTTGATTAACATAATCATAAGGTGAAGCACACTTTTTGTATTTGGTTTGCCAAAGAGGCATTTTCAGAATATTTGGCATTATTTAACAAAATAAAAGCGATCTACAATCAACTTCTTCACTAGTCATAGAAGGGATGAGCTTATTATTAACTTTGATAATGGTTAAGTTTTAAACATCAATCGGGGTAAAATTTAATGATGTTGCACTGCTCATAGTGTGTGTCATCACTCATATTCGATAATGCTTTTATTAATTTTATGGTTACATTTATGGTGACATTAAAACTAACAAGTAATGACTATTTGTATAACTCCATTACATATTGCCTTAAACTAAGTAATACAAATTTGTTGTTTTATCTTACCGACCACCTAAGTATCACCAACTCGGTTTTTAATTGCAAACCAAAATGTAAACATTCATTCACAATTTCCTTATTAGTGAATAGTGGCAACAATAAACTATCTCAATATCATTGAACTCTACCTTTAGGAGTTATACAAATGAGCCTGACACCAACCTTCCTGTAAGGAGGTTGAAAGTACCCAAGGCATACAGTTAAATTCTGACACAGAAATCTAGAATTATGTCCCTTGAAATTTTAATCTCTTCTTACTGTCTAGACTCAACAGTACTTAAGACTCTAGTGCAATTTTAACTCTAGTTTTAACACCAACTTTAATCGACACATTGAACCATGAAAAGCTAAATGTTGAAATCAAAACTATGACATTAATCGACACATTGAACCATGAAAAGCTAAATGTTCAAAAAAAATGAAATCAAAACTATGACCTGTTGAAATCAAAACTATGACAAATACATTGACCAAGATGACTACGAAGTTTTTGTATAGGATATCACGTTGCCAATAAGCTTATCAAAAAAAAAAAAAAACAAACTTTATTTAAAAATATGACTGCTTATCACAGCAATTTATTACAAAGCTTCTAATGCTTATTATTTTTATATTTTTTATTTCTCCTGTCTCCTAATAAGCAATTACAACTAGCTGGCGACAGCATAGTCCCCAACTGTCACACAAAAAACTTCCCTTTTCAACGCATATAATAAACCTCTTCCCAGTTCACTTTTTTACTAATTTTTCAATGCAGTCCAAATAAATTAAGAAAATTACACCTTTCTCATTTCTTACTGCACCAACATCTAAATTCCCAAATAAACCAAAAACACTTGAACCGTAGTCTTAGAAATATCCCAATCAATTCTCAAAACCGCATTTTTACAGGAAAAAAAAATTGAATATATTTGAATGGTCACCATTATCTCATCATTAATATCATCCTCAACAGAATCGCCGTTTTATGTTTACTATTATTGGAAACCACGATCCTTATGAATGCTAGCCTGGCACCAGCAAGAGGTGAGTTTACCGCTCCACCCCATCTTAATTCCCAGCCTCACTTTGCTCACTCTCCCTAAGTCGTCGCCAGGCGGTGATTCCACCACAACGGCGTCCCTCCCTCACCGCTCCCCGCCTCAACGCACCTTTGCCCTTCATTCCTCACCAGCGGCAACTCCCAACGTTCCCCAGTCTGCTCCGATCTTTCCTCTCCCGCGATCTCCACCATCTCTGGCGAACTCGCTTCCCCGTCGGAACAATCGATCGCCTCCTCATCGCCTTCTTCCTCCGATTCGACGAGTTCCAGACGAAGCCGACCGTCGCTGCGGATGGCGCGAAGAATCTCCGGCTGCGGTTCGATCTGGATCTCAGTGAGCAGAAACCGCCCATCCCTTCGCTCCGCTTTCAAGAACCTGCTCCTACGACCTCCGCCTCCCATCATCCATGGAAGCGGAGGAGGGAATCGCACCTCCGCCCGACGCCTCTGCGATGGCCTTCGCGTATTCGGTTTCTCGATCTCCGGCGCGGAGTCATCTCCGTCGTCAATTTCGATCCCGCTATCGCAGCTCTCCGATCCAAGACTCTCTGTACAGAGGCCGAGACCGCCGGCAACCGCCGTCGCTTCGTGAAGGCCCCACGCGCCGGGATCCGGCGACTTCTCAACGCTGGTTGCGGGACTGATAGAAGGGGATTCGACGACGTGAGGGGGTTTGGGAGAATCGGAGGCGAGGAGACGGAGGCCTCCGCGGTCGATTTGGGGGAGAATGTGGCTCCAACGATGAGGAGGATTACGGAGATCGTCGGAATCGGGGATGCCGAGTATCGAATTAAAGCTACTTTTGCAGAAGCTAATCATAGCCACTTCTTCCCCTTTTCCCTGCACGAGTTTCTTCGATATTTATGGGGCTAAGGGGTGGAAGAAATGGATTCCAATGAATGAGACTTGGGACTGGTGGTGCAGGGGAGGTGGGGGTGCTATATATAGCTGTTGGACCATTTTTAGGCTTAGTAGTTGTGATTTGAATTAAAATTAATGGGTTTTTTTACCACGTCATTTTTGGAAGGTTAAACGTGTAACGCTGGAGGAGTTGATGTGGCGGGGGACTGCTATTAATTGCTAAACGATGAATGATGGAAGAGGTCAAACAATTTTTAGTATAATAAATATTGTAATTTTAGTTAAAATATGTTAGTGTTATTTTAAGTTTCATTATGTTATATTGTTATTAGAATAAGACAATCTCAAATCAATTAATGCGGATGAATATTTCAATAACACTTCAACCTCAAATCAAATAACTCGGGAAATATTCCAATAACACCGCAAAGTAATCAAATAACACCACATAATACTCGAATAACACTTCATTTTTTTTACAAATAATGCTGATGGAATATTTCTGTAGCACAGCGGGATATTCATATAACACAACGACTACTGTAATTCGAACGTACCTCTACATTCGGATTCCTAACGTAATATGTGCTCTGGAGGGCATACGTAAAATTTCTTCCCTTAAATTCATTGAATGACCTATATTAAATGATTGCTAAAATTTAATGAAATATATCAAGACAAAGTAGTAATTAATCTAAGAGTTTGATTACATTTTTGTGTGAAAAAAATTAGGGTTGATAGCATAGTATATGGAGACAATGGGGATTGGGGAAATAGTAATGTTGTCCATGATATTATCGGTGTAATGTATGTCAAATGATGTTAATTTTGACATATTGCTGTTTGGTTGGATGTAAATGAAATATAGCGTACACTTCTAGTGAATTTGAAATTCACTTTTTTATTCAAATTTGGTAAGGTTGTCCATAAGCTATTGTTAAGAATGTTTTCACTGGCCGCTCCATCATCATTATACATTAGCATATTTTATGTCAATTTTATTTTATTTTAAATTGAATACCCTAAATTATCAAACATTCATTTTGCACTTAATCAAATAAATCTAAAACATTTAAAATATATTTAATTTCAGTTTTCGTGCATTTTAATTGTACTTTATTCATTTTTCTAACAAAACAACTACTACATTGTTGGTGAATATAAACTCCTTGTTACTATTTGGCTGTTGCATTATGAATGTAACCCAAATGTGATGAACTACATGCTAAAATTTTAATGTTTAGTTCGATGAAAATAGAATGTAATGTAAAATTTTATTGAATTCATAATTCGCCTTTTAGTTTAAATTTGATATCTTTGAACATTGTATCATACAATTGATTTCCAAATACAACTTAAGGGTTTCCACTGCCCGCGATCATTGGTGGTCACCATTGTTTTCTGTCTCCCGCCACCATTAGTTTTTTTTATTTTAAATCAAACATAAATTAATAATCTTATACTTTTCTTACACTTAATCGAATGACAAAACTATTTTAAATATAATACCTCTAAATTACCTTGTAATACTTTTATATTGTATTTCCTTTTTAGCAAACCAACTAGGCCCTAAAAGTTTACACTAGAATTTTTGTCTGACTAAATTTCAAAGTTAGAAAATCCACTGTGTTCAATTTTAATTATCTTATTAATATAGGCAATCAAATAATGTCTTGTTACGTGCCATAAATTTATGGTAGTAGAATGATAGATTACTATTTGCTTAAAGATCTAGCACACACACACAGATAAAAAATGTGTTGAAAGAGGAATTTTATGTGAAAATCTTAATAAAAAAATCACGGGGATATAGCCAAGTCATAGTAATCTATCATATAGTTTAAATTATATATTTTTTCTCCTCTTTATTTGGAGAGATATAGTGACATAATTTAAGTGAGTTATAAATATTAAGCAACAATAATTGTATGATAATAGATGAGTTACAAAAAATATTAGTAATGACCGATAATGATACTTATCGTTTTCTTAACATTTGGTCCTCTTCATGTTGAAAGTATGATCTCATTTATAATATTTTGAGAGGGGTGTTTTAATAAATTAAGCTAAAATCACAAAATATTATATCAAATGATCCATGTTAATTCATTTGATCATATATCATTACGTTAATTTTTAAGAATCATAATGACCATAAAATTGATTATCTTGGGCACGTTATATTTCTTTCATCACGACAATCGATTTGATAGTAGGAATGTTAATTTTGGAGATCATTTAATTTTTCAATTAGTGCTTTAAAGCTTTTTTGCTTACTTCAAGCTCTTCATACAAGCTCATTTGGGCTCAGATCAAATCAATTATAGTGTCATTATGTTTCTATTATCAAGATGTTTAATTTGAATATAAATTAAGATGATAAATTTATAGCTTGAATGACCTTGAATTTAACTATATGAATTTTCTTATCCAAATCATAGAGATTCTTGCTTTGATCAAATGAATTTTTTAATTATATATAATTGCCCCCATATTTTCAAACATCAAAACTTCTGTCATTTGAAATATATATTAAAGTTTTAAATTACTTTAAGCCCAAAATTATAATTTTAGAATGATTATAAGCAACAACTTAAAGCTCTGGTGATGTTAGTATAACCATGCCCCCATTTATTTGATAGGAAGAGAAATAGTTAAATATATTTGTATTTATAAGAATTTGGAATATTATTTTTCTATAAATAAGTGTATTTAAATTGCCAAAAGTTTATAAATAAACTTTAATTTTTTAAGAATATTGTAAAAATAATTCATAACTCCTTTTTTTCTGTTAAGTAAAGAAACCCCCTTCAGAAGATGGGAAATTCACTCATTTTCTTCCTCTTTAAAAGCTTCAATGTCTCTCTTAAAAGTGATTATTTACTTTCTTGTATATGTGATGCATAATTCTTCTTTTATAATCTCTTGTCTTCCTTTGTATGGTGGTTAAAAATTGTCTTAATCAGGCGATGTAGATCATCCTTTTAAACTACAGTGCCCCAGCAAGTGCAAAAATTTTATCTTATAATTATGAATTTGAGAGTAATTTCAGAATTTTAAATAAGCAATTATTTTTATCTAATATTCTAATGCTAATAATTCCAGTTGATTCTTATACAATGTTACAGTATAACTAAACTCTAATGATATGATGTTTATAATAACTAATTCTTATTTCTTCATTTTATACATAAAAATTCTTGGGTGAAAAAAAAAATATGACACCTTATTCGTCCCCTCTTTTAAGCTCTAAATACACTTAAGAGAGTTCCATCACTATTGTTTAACAGGAACATGTTCCTCATCACAAGTCTAGTGTGTCTCTATCAAGAGCATAGGATTATCATTCATAGACTAACTAGATTAGAAGAATTTTAAGATATATAATTTTAGTTTTAGCGATCTTATCTTCCTTAAAATAGGTATAAAGTGACTCTTCAAATAAATCAAGTTTTTAACTTAATATTGTTGAAATCAAAGATGATAAATGGGGAATTTTTTTTAATTATTTGTTAAAATGTACATCACAGATTTCAAAATATTTATATCTAAATAATTGGATGCAACATTTGAAGAATAATATATTACATCAAGAGATAAAAATTATCTTAAATTTGACCTAACCATTTGAATGTTGAAAATCTTTAAAATTTATGGGTCAGCATTCACTAAAATGTTTTTCTTTTATCTTATGGTTGTAAGATAGAATTTATTTTATTTTTGGCTCTAATCTCTCTGTAAGGGCAAGCCCTCATAATTATTTATATCCTACAAATTTTGATTCCTTAAGAAAACTCTATATTAAAGTTTTGACATATGTCATGCAAAATTTCAAAGTTGATTTTTGTAAATGAAAAAGTTAAAGATTTGAAGATAACTTTAAGGTTTTAAAAGAATTTTTTAGAATTTGAAGGTTAACACATACAATCTAATGATAATGTATTGTGGAAAGGCTTAGGAAAGGGAATAACCAACTCTGGGAAGAAAGTGAGGTTTTAAAAGAATTTTTTAGAATTTGAAGGTTAATACATACAATCTAATGACAATGTATTGTGGAAAGGCTCAGGAAAGGGAATAACCAACTCTGGGAAGAAAGTGTATCTTAGGGTTGAGATTAGAAAATTATTGAAAGAATTATGCTTGATTTTAAAGATTTAAAGGGTTTAAATTGTTTAGCTTGATTTGAATTTGTTTGATTGAAAAGGATTTGGTTTTAATAGTCTTATTTCAAGGATTTAATTTCAAATGATTGATGAGAAGAAGTTTATTTAAGTGAGTTGATTTCAAGGATTAGATTTCAAAATTTTTAAATTGATCTGTTTGATTTGAGGATTTGTATGAAGGTGGGTTTGAAGGTTGAGTTGATTATTGATTTGAAGGTTGAATTAAAGGTTGAGATTGAAGGGTTTAAAAAGATATATAGATGAAATATAGAGAGCTTAACCCTGTGAAAAATTTTAACTCTATAAGAAGAGTAAATTGGTCGACTAACCTAAATTTTATGTATGATACCTCTAGTCAAGATGCCCATGACCTTCCATTATCCTAGTTGTATCAATATCTTTATACCAAACAGTTAGAAAGAGAGCCGCACAGTTACCACAGTGATGGTGAATATAAATATTATTAAAAATTAAGTGGTTTCAGGTGTAATCAGCAGTAATCATGGGCTACTTTATCCTAGGACATCTATATAATCAAAGAGGAGTTTAAACATGAGGTTTTCTATGTTATAGTATTTAATACTACCTTGACGTACATATTAAGTTGACTTATGTTTTTAGACTAGGTTATCGTAGGGGAATGTATGATCTTAAAGTTCATTTCTAGGATAACTGCCATTGGATTCATAATTGATCTACCTAGACATGACAGATAGCTTAATTTAGTAAATTTTAGATTTTTTTATTTTTAAGTTTGATATTTTAATTTTTTTTTTCCTAGTTTATTGGTCAACACAAAAATCAAGTTTTCAAGGAATAATATTTTGCATTTGGTTTTTTATCCTAAGTTGATGCTCTTCTATTTGGTTTATTATTATATGTTTGAAGTTCATATTCAATTACAAAAAAAAAGGGTTTCACTTATATATTCTAAGTTTATATTTTCACATTTAACAATTTTTAAGTTTGATATTTTAATTTTTTTTTTCCTAGTTTATTGGTCAACACAAAAATCAAGTTTTCAAGGAATAATATTTTGCATTTGGTTTTTTATCCTAAGTTGATGCTCTTCTATTTGGTTTATTATTATATGTTTGAAGTTCATATTCAATTACAAAAAAAAAGGGTTTCACTTATATATATTCTAAGTTTATGTTTTCACATTTAGCATTTAAATGTTACATATGATTAATACTCAAGATTTCTTTCTAGAGAAAAAAATATTGTGTGGGTGGGTGGTTCTCGGCCAAGAGGAATAAGAGAGAGAGAAAGAGAGAGAGAGAGAGAGAGAGAGAGAGAGTGTGTGTGTGTGTGTGTGTGTGTTTTGGTCATAGGAAGTAGAGAAGGTGTGGGTCTCTGTGTGTGTACGTTTTGACCATGTGAAGTAGAGAAATATGTGTGTGTGTTTTAGCCATGGGAAGTAGAGAAGGTGGGGATGTGTGTGTGTGTGTGTGTGTGTGTGTGTTTTGGCCATGAGGAGTAGAGAAAATTTGGATGTGTGTGTGCATGTGTTTCAGTCATGGAAAGTAGAGAAGGTGTATATATTGGTTGTGGGGGGGGGGGGGGGGGGGGGTACAAATGTTTCGGCCATGGGAAGTGATATGGCTTAAAGCATGTTTAATTTCATTTCTATTTTACATTTGTTTATGGGTAAAATTGCACTTTAAAGGATGATATTTTTTTTTCTTACAAGTACAACAGGTAGGAGAACTGGAACGAAGAGGAGAAGAAACAGAGAGAAGAAGGGGCGAAAAGGAGCTAAAGGCAAGTTTTAGAACTGGAGCCTAAGTGCCAACTTTGGGTATCTAGGCACCA